AAATGATTCCGGCTGTCTAACAGGTTCAGGGACTGCTCTTGGGGAGAAGGAAGGCCGGCGGCGAGAATGGTCAGTCGCTCAGAATGTGGTGCCCGAGGTGCGGTCTGGTGAGGAGATTGGTACTCCTGCAGAAAATGGGATCAGTTCTGGGTCTGAAAACGACTCCGGCTGTCTAACAGGATCACGGACCGCCCTTGGAGAGAGGGAAGGCCGACGGCAAGAAGCGCGGAGTGAGCTCGGTGCTCGGTTGAGGGAATTCCACACTGCCGCCCACGAGGACGGCGAACATTTGCAAAACAATGATCGGGGCAGCATCGACGAGCATAGGGTCAAAGACTTGGACGAGTCCATGACGCAAAGGGGACTGTCGATGTCAAGGAGCGATGGGAAGGAAGTAACAGTTTGCGGGACGGACGGAAGCGCGATGGGTGCCTTTGAAGTGACCGATGACAAGAGAGTTCCATGCGGGGACTATCAATTTGATGAAGTCCTGACAAGCGACAGACGGGGGTCTCCATCAAGCGCAGGAGAGGAGGCTGCCCGCCGATCGCGGTCGCGGAGCAGCATGGGGTCTACTGACAGAAGGTTGTCATCGCCTTTGAGGCAAGGGACAGGGGTAAACAACAAAAGTGGGCGAGCACAACGAGCGCTGACCCTCGCAGCAGCACGACATGTGTTCTCCTCAGGGGTGCGCGTGGCGCAGCCCTTCCGCCCGCTGTTGCTGGTGTGGGCTCTGCTAGAAGAAGAAGCTGGGGACATGCAGAAGGCACAAGAGTTGAGAGAGAAGGCGCGGCTTGTGGGGAACTCAACTGTTGTCCCTAGGGCAATCTTGCGATCTTTTTCTCATAAGCGCAAGGAGACTGGGATTGTCGGTTTTTGATAATCTACTGGGATGAGATTTTTTTATTTTATTTTTTACCCCGGGGGGGGGGGRGGGAGGGGATCAGAGTGTGCCCTTTAGCGATGTTTAATGATTTATCTTTTTGTTCCTCTTTTGTCTAATTGTTTATTCTCTCTTGAAAAAGACATGGCCCTAAGGTTATGGCCTCTTTTTGTGCACAGTGGAGCAGCAGTACATTTGCATCTGAAGCTCCATCCGCTTCATTCTCTGCCCTGATACCGCTTCATTCTCTGCCCTGATACCGCTTCATTCTCTGCCCTGATTTCTTTTTCTTCCCTCCTTCCCTCCTCCTCTCTCCCCCCCCCTTTCTCTTCCCTTCTTCTCCGCCTCCCTTCTCCTGGGTTTTCTGGCTGTTCGCTGCCACCAATTTTAAACCACCAGTACGTTTCCTAGCCATTTTTGTCCAACACGCCTTGCATGCTGCCGCAACTTTCAGGGATCGGCAGCCGGAGCAAAATCGCTGGCTGCGCCAGCCAAAATGAGTCCCACGTCGGTTCTTCTTTTTGGGCGCTCGGAGCATTTGGAGCCCGGGGCAAAAGTGCCTCGGAAGTACTGGTGGCTTAAGGGCGGCCGTGCATGTCTGAGATCGGAGATCGGTGGCGTGGCCGTGCACATGATGGGTCCTTTGTATTGGTGGGGACCAGGTCTGAAATGGGGAAATCCGTGGCGTGGCCTTGCACGTGATGGCTTCTTTGTATTGGTGGGGACCAGCTTCCGCCGACAGCCAGGGCCATTGTCTCATGACAGGCATGCAAAACAGATTAAGCTCAGAATTTACAAATGAGAGTGACTGGCGTGTCGTCTACCGTCTACCTCCCCGCACACAGTCTTCGATAGCTCCACTACTTCTGGCAGCATGTCGTGCTACTGGGTGATTTTCAGTGCTACGAACCGCCCCTTGAGGGCGTTCATTTTTTTCAAATTCTGGCGAATTCTTCAACCACATACCCCTCCTAGCAGTCTGCTGTCGTGTTTCTGTGTAAAGCTCTATTTTTTTTTTTTTTTTTTTTTTTTTTTTTGAAGGGTGATGGCCTTGAGATATCATCATTCAGCTGACCGGCCCCAGGTAATTCACATTTATTATTTATTATTTATTATTTATTATTTATTATTTATTATTACGTGCATCTGATTGCAACTGGGTTTGAACTTAGGGGGTCTGTAATTCAACAGTTCATGGGTGCACCAACTTAGCTAAGCCCGTTGGTTAAACCACCAGTACTTCCTGAAGTTGTGCCTGTTAACAAGCCACAATTTTAGGAAACGTACGGGCCACTGCAGGAGCGCCCAGATTCATCCAACTAGAAACGTTTCTACTCTATTTTTTTCTGCGGCAGATAGCTGGCCCAAGTACTTGTGGTTGAAAGCACTATTTCAAATTATGCCGAGTGGTGAATTCTTAAACAGCACACCCCTGCTAGTAGCCCATGGCAAATTTTTGAAGTGTATACACCCTCCCAGCAGTCTAAAGAAAGGATCTTTCTTTTTTTAAGTTTTTTTCCTTTTCTTTTTTCTCTATTTTATTACCTTCAGTATTCGAGTGTTTTTTTTTTCCCTCTATTTTTTTTTCTTTTTTTCTTTTTATTTATTACAAAAGTTGTGTAAAGTGTCTCTTACGGGGCCTGAGTCGCACTTAGTGCCAGCAGACTGTGATAGTTCTCTGGATACCCTGATCGGTATTAGCGGGGTCTATGACCAACACGGGTGTGAGTGTGAGCGCGAGTGGGGTTGTGTGTGGGTTGTGGGAGGGAGGGTGTTGGCCATAGCCTCTGCTGCTTTTCGATGAGGGGTGGGGGACAATGAGAAAGGTAGGTGCGGCTACTGGCAAAATGCTCGGTCTTTGCGTTAGCCGGAACCCCACCGGCGGCCCAACACCATCTCTGACTACTGCTGTTGGGGCAGGGGGCAACATGATTTACCTCATTTGCGAGGCCTATGCCGAACGAGGCCTATGCTTGCAGGGGTCCCGTCTATATAGTCTTAGGAGTAGTGGTAGGAAGGTAGTGAAAGCCAAAAAGAATTTGAGAGACGAACAATGAACATAGTATAGGTTTTTTTTTTTTTAGAAATCTTTTGGAGCCCTACTATCTGCCGTTTATGTGAATCCTTTAACTCTTAAGCTTTCACAACTTCAGCATCCGAGACGTCATTTGATGAACGTTACCATGAATGCATATTTAGCATGAATATGGTCGCAATGCTCAGCAGATTCATGCCAATGGAGCGGTGGACACAGAGACTCGATCTATGGTGTAACAGACTCTTTGGTGTAAAGTGGGGTACATAGTTTAGACCACCAGTACGTTTCCCACTCAGCATGAATCTGCCGGCCATCGCGACCATACTCATGCTAACATACCTGTTTCCCGGTCAGCATGAATCTGCTGTCCATCATCGCGACCGTATTCATGCTAACATACCGCCTATGAAGCACTAATGATGCTTGAAGGTGCAGAAACTCAAAAAGTAAAACCACCAGGATGTTTCCCCGTTATTTTTCTTCGATGCGTCTGCGTGCACGCCGTGTCGGGCAGGCTGCATCTCCCTCTAGTTTTGATTGCAAAAGATCCGGGGAAAACAGGACCAGGCCGCAACTCGCTTTGCCTGGGCGATGCTGCCTGCGAAAGATCTCATGGGTGTCACGCGTTGACTAGTAAAGTCCTTGCTGCAACTGTGCTGTGCTGGGGTGGGATGAATGTCACGAGCGGTATGGCTTCTGGTTTGAAGACAGGGTCACAGTTGCAGTGGTGAAGGCATCTGGCTGTTATAGACGAGGTCGGTGGTTCGATTCCGTTTGGTTGCGGATCGATCAGGGCTACAACGACGAACTTACTGACACTGGATGTTTTCCAAGCAAATTTAGCAAAATGGGAGGCCGGGGCATCCCGACCCCCGGCGTGCATGTGGCCTCCTCAGAGAAAAATGGCTGGGAACCGTACTGGTGGTTTTGAGTTTTCAGTTTCTGCTCTTTCAACCATTGGTAGTGCTTCATAGGCGGTAAATTAGCATGAATATGGTCGCGATGGTCGTCAGGTCATGCTGACTGAGGGGTGGAGAATTATCATGAATATGGCCACATGCTGGGCAGATTCGTGAAATCTGGGCGGCACAGAGATGTCGCGCCCATCGGCATTATGCATTGACAGGCAACACACAGAGCAAGCATGGGTATGGACTTGGTCCCGAAGACCCAGGCCCCAGAGCCCAAAAGACCCAGGCCGTGGAGACCCAGGCTCGCCACCGGAAAACAAATATGATCTGCTCTTTTCTAGGGAGATAGCTTTTTCAGTAACAAAAGAATGAATGCGGTCGTGATGCTGCTGGGAAGATACACATAGATTGCGAGGTGGGCTTATTCAGAATCTGTGCAGCTGCCGTTGACTTTGACGTTGACGTAAAAAACAGAAAAGCGGGGTGTGCAGAAGCTGCGGGGGAGGGAGCAATGAGAAAGTTGGTCAAGCCGAGCAACAGGAGAATCACACCTCCTATCCCAGTTCGGGAGATAAAAGTCGGAACGCGGATGATATCGGTCAATTAGAACCTCTTTTTATCTTTTTTATCTTTTTTATCTTTTTTATCTTTTTTTTTCATCCGTTTCCTTGCTCAGGGGCCATGGTAAGGCCAATCACTGAGGGGTACCGAAGGCCAGGCCAAAACAGGCCTTTAGAGGCCCAACACGAGGCCGTTCATCTTGGGAAAGTCGATGGTCAAGGATAGAGGCCCACGAGTCAAAGTCGACTTGATCCTAGCCTCGGCTACAGGTCAGACACACTTCTGGTTGTTTGCAGGTATCCGGACGCGATCAAGCCCAAGCGGGGTTACATCGGTTTCTGCAACTGTACGGGATCCAGGCCATCGGCTGACGGGCGATCTGGACCATCGTATGCAAGAGACCAGAGGCTGGTCAACACATTGCACATCGACGCTACAAGTTCACCCAGCCCCGGATGGACGACATTCAGTCTTGCACACGCTGCTTGACGCCGGTTTGACGCTGGTTTGACGCTGGCTGGACGCTGGCTCGACATTGGTGTGACGGCGCAAAACTACCAGAGCTTTATGCTGGCGCCATTCTCTGTCTACGGCGCCAGCTGTGCACTTGAGCATTGCTGACGTGGCTGCGGCCATACTGATTCCGACATTGATGGAATTGGCGAGGAGGAGGAGGGATCGTGGCTGTGACGTTGGTTCGATAGAGGAAGGGAAGCTTACCTGTTGATCATATCGACACTGTGCCTTATTGTTCGTCTCCGGAGGAAGAATCGACGCCATCCTCCGTGACCACTGCTGATGTGGCTGGAGGATGGGCGCCATGTTATAACCTGCTTATTGCCAGAGATTACCAGGGCGGAACTGCTGCTCACGTGGCGAGTTGAGAGGCAACCCCCGAAGAGGAAGTGGGCAGCGAGTGTTATCTGCTCAACGATGATGGTGGAAACTCTCTCTCTCTCTCTCTCTCTCTCTCTCTCTCTCTCTCTCTCTCTCTCTCTCTCTCTCTCTCTCTCTCTCTCTCTCTCTCTCTCTCTCTCTCTCTCTCTCTCTCTCCCTCTTAAGTCTCATCTCCCTCTCTCCTCTCCACTGGACAGTGGGATGCCTTGTGGACAATGAGTATGGTTTTCAGAAACGATTTTGGAGACATTGATTCTGCGCTAGGACATCTTGTATTTCGACATTGGCGAACTTCTCATTTGACTGGGTTCATCGCAGCTGGGCCAAGTACTGGTGGTTTAAACAGCAGGTGCAAAACTGGCATGTGAGTGCGATGGGAATCAGTCAAATGTAAGATCACGTATCTTCATACTAAACGAAGAAATCAAAACAAACATCAAGCAATTCTGCAATAACTGGCTTGGGGGGGATCAAGAGGGTTGGATAGCAGAAGTGGAATGGAGAGGAGGGGAGAGAAAAGACCCGGCGGGGCCCATCAGGGACTATAGACTCTCCTTCCGTCAGTGGACCACGGCTGACCCGGCTGTCCCAATGCGCCCCCTATCAGATTTCCCAGACCCTTCCCCCCAACTCCTAGCGGACGCAGCCATGCAGAATGCAGGGGGAAGGAGATCTG